ACATTTTTTTCTGATGCTCTTTTCTTTTGCCTAATTATTCTATTTGACCTTGCGCGAAACTCTGCATATTCCTGTAAATTTGAAGTCGAAGGATTTTGTATCATTTTAGCTCTTGCTGCTTTTCGGTTTTTTATCGTGTCTCGACACTCATTATCAAACCAGTGATTCTTACTTTTTCCCTTGGTAACTCGGAGAGTTTCTGCTGCTTTATTTAGTGATTCCTTTATTTGGGTCCACTCTATGACATTACTCAATTCTTCTTGTATTATGTTAAAGCTGTTCAATCCTTCCTTTATTCTGTTTTGGTATTCCATGATTTCCTTTTGATCTCTTAATTTACTTCTATCTAGTTTATGTGCTGTATTAGGTTGTTGCTTTTTTCTCCATATCGTTGACAGTTTTAACGATAGGCTTGCTATCACTAAGAAGTGGTCTGTGTCCCCATCCGCACCCCTATAGCTTCTGACGTTTTTTATGCTTGTTCGGTGTCGCTTGTCAATAATTATATGGTCGATTTGACTTTTCGTCTTACCGTCTGGGGCAGTCCACGTGTGCTTATGGATGTTCTTTCTAGGAAAATAGGTGCTGCTTATAATAAGGTTTTTCGATTCTGCAAAGCCAACTAATCTCAACCCATTATCATTAGATACTGAGTGCCAGCTCTCTTGGCCTATTGTTGGTCTAAGAAATTGTTCTYTACCGACCTGCGCATTCAGATCACCAGCAATTATCTTGATGCAGTTGTTTGGTAGAGAGTCAAATAATCTCTCTAGATCCTCATAGAAAATATTTTTCACTTCCTCCTCTTGATCCTCTGTCGGGGCATAACCGTTAATTATACATATATCGAAATTCCATCCAGCCATTTGCAGGTAGCACAGACGTTCATTCACTGGCATGAAACGTTTAATGCTTGACATTATGGAGTTTTTAACTACGAAACCTACTCCTTGTTCATGTTTGCCTGTCTCTTTGCCACTAAAAAAAGATAGTTGAATTGCTAGCCTGAACATTACCATTTCCTAGCCAACGAATTTCTTGTATTGCGACTATTGGCACTTTATATTTTTCAATTTCTTCCACAATATTCTTTAAAGCTCCTGCTTTATAGAGAGTTCTGATATTCCATGTTCCAAACCGAGTCTCCACAAGTTTTCCGTTCCGAGTTCCACATAAAATCCCATTATTATCCATAATCCGAGGCTTTGTTAGAAGATTCACAACATATGGTTTTTTTTACAAGGATGGATTGTTGGTCCATCGCTTAACCCCCAAACCTGGAGGGCCGGTTTGGGCCAACTAATCAAAGTCAGCCCGTAGCTCGGGGCCCCGGGTTCGCAAAGCCCGTAGCACTAAAGACTTAGTGCCCCCCTGAGGGGTTGTACCCCGATTAAAAAACAAAAATATAACAGGTGAAAAAAATCTTAAAAGTGATATGGAAAAAATACAATCACAGTATTTTTATCCGTAATATGTGCTATTATTTATATATTTCTAAAAAAATCTAAATTATTTAATTCCTATATGTACTATGAAAACCCTTTAAAGTGCATATGATATAGTAGCAATCATTATTTTTATTTATATGCGATAGTCGAATCATTAAACAATTAATTTATAAGTTATGAATAAAATCCTGAGATATATTTTAAAAGTAAATCAAATTATGTTTTTACCGTTAAGTTTCTATGAATACAACACGGAAATTATTAATAATACATTGAATAAAAGTTTCCCAGGAAAATTTATGTAAGTGTGTTAAAATATTGCTGTAGCAAATCTTTAACGAAGAACATCTATTCTAGAGTTAGTTAGTTGTAAAAATTCGTTAATAAAAATTACAATGACTTTTTAATCATAACAATATTATAATTTAAGATAAATATTTTTATTTTTTATTAATGTGGATTTAACTCATTAACCATCATTATCTATTAAATTTTTAGTATAATACCAGTAGCTTTAAGATAATAATTTATTTCATCAATATTTACCATATATAAAATTCACATCATATTCGTTATGTTTGGTTTATTTTTATTCAAAAATAATAAATCCTGATTTAGAGTAGATACATATATTATAATATGTAAACTTTATACGAAAATACGAAATTCCATTTCAATGAATTGTTGTAATTATAAACATTAACCGTTACTAAATTATTTTAAATAATGTCTTAATAATTACTCGTCGATGTGATGATTCGTTTTTTTAAGCTAGAAATCAAAGAATAATAAAATAAAGTTATTTAAAAACAA